AAGAGTAAATAATCTTTGTGGAGGACCACAGCACTAGGTACAGCCTTGCAGTCCCGTAGACGATGAGAGACCTTGATTCCATCTTAAAGACAGTAGCCCTCGCCAGGCGTTGGTGGCGCATGCCTTTAATCCCAGCACTCGGGAGGCAGAGGCAGGCGGATCTCTGTGAGTTCGAGACCAGCCTGGACTACCAAGCGAGTTCCAGGACAGCCTCCAAAGCCACAGAGAAACCCTGTCTTGAAAAACCAAAAAAAAAAAAAAAAAAAAAAAAAAAAAAAAGACAGTGGCCCTCAGGAGCCAGAGAGGTGTCTCAACAGTACTAGTTATCCTTCCAGAGGATCCAGGTTCAGTTTCCAGCACGTGGATGGTGGTTTACCATCCGTAACTGGATTTGACCCTCCCAACTTCCTGGAAAAGCTGTTGTTGTTGACATATAGCATATGCTATTATTGGTACACACACACACACACATATAATTTGAATTTGTTATGTTGAGATATGTAGCCCTGGCTGTCCTGGAACTTGTTACATAGGGCAGACTGGCTTCAGACTCAAGAGAGAGCCACCTGCTTCTCCCAAGTGCTGAGATTCATGGCTTATGCCACCACATCTGTCTATAACTTGAACTGTTGGGCTTCAGCTGTGCTGTCAACATTGGTGAAAGGGTCACAGTTTACATGTAAGGTGGTATCTCTAGTTCGCTGGTGGATCGGGCACCTAGCATGCACAAAGCCAGAGATCTACCTCCAGGACAGCAGGGCAAGGCAGAGTGTGAGCCCGATTATGAGCAGAGTCATCATGCTCCTCACAGTCGGCCTTCTGTGCTGCGGAAGATGGTTCTACAGTTGGCCACGCCTCTAATTCTTCATGTTCTTATTTGGGACATACGACTTTTCTATTCTTCCTAGCAACTTACCTAAACACAGTACCCATCCGTTTTGGTATTTCAGTCCTACTCATACTTTTTTTTAATATTTTATTTATTTATTGTGTATACAGCCTTCTGCCTGCATGCCAGCAGAGGGCACCAGATCTCATTCAAGGTGGTTGTGAGCCACCATGTGGTTGCCAGGAGTTGAACCCAGGACCTCTGGAAGAACAGTCAGTGCTCTTAACCGCTGAGCCATCTCTCCAGCCACCCCCTACTCATACTTTTACTTACTTATTTGTTCATATTTATTTTTGTGGCACTAGGGGTTAACCAGGGCCTCACATGTCCTCGTCCCTCACATTTTGAGACAGGGTTCTAACTAAGTTGTATCTTTGGCCTTTTTCTGTCCTTGGAGTCTTCGAACTTGCTCTGTAACGCAGGCATGTCTTGAGCTTGCAACCCTTCTTCAACTCCCTAGGAGCTGAGGTTACAGGCCTCTGCCACTAAGCCAGCCTAGCCACTTCCTTACAACTTGCCCAAAACCTAAGTGTCCACTAGGACTTATCAGTTTACTGTTATTAAATGTGTGAAAAAAACAAGCAGAAGTGGGGGGGGGCGCCAAAGTTGGGCCTCACTGGGAAAAGGGCTAGTGCAATGATTTGGAAATCTGGAGATCTTAGTTAAGTTCTAAGAATGGTAACTAGTGCCTCAGATACAAGAGTTTAAGAGGGATAAAAACATGCCAGGGCTGAAGCAGGTAGTGGGATGGGAGGGATGGGGCATGCCTTGGAAGGCAAAGGCAGGTGGATGTCTGAGTTCAAGGCCAGATTGGTGTACAAGGGCTGATTCCAGGACAGCCAGGGCTCTATAGAAAAACCCTGTCTGTCAGTGAGGTTCAATAACGATGATGACTATGGAGAGGGGAGGAGGAGGGGGGAAGAGGAAGAGGAGGAGAAGGCGGGTGATGGGTAGAATTCTCTGAGAAGCACATCTAAGACCTGAAGGGAGGGGAAGGATGCAAATCAGTGGAGGCTGCCAGAGTGGACTACTCCTTAGAGGCCCCGGTGCCATTAGTATCTTGGGCTTCTTCAGTTTTGGGCCAGAGGTAGAAGAGAGTCAGATAGCCAGTGTCAGTTCACCAGGCTCCTTGAAGACAGTTGTTCTCACAAGGGCATCTCAAATGTATGCCAAGGGGAGTTAACTTTAACAGATCTTATACAGGTTTCTAAAACGGTATCTAGATTGAATGTATTGAATCAGTGACTATGTTCCAGGATGGCTCTTGTATAGACACACCTCATTTCTAGTGTTGGAGTCCAGCTGGTTATCTCTAGGATCCCAAAGGACATTTTTTTTCTCATCTATCGACATATAAAAGACTGTTTATGTAATGCATCCTCCTAGAATAGGCTCATGAGACTGCTGTCATGTCTTATTTACCTTCTTACCCAAGGAGCACTTGGCCTGTGAAATGAAGTAAACCCCCAGAAATTAGGTGAGAAAAAGCAGCTGTCTCTTGCTTCTCATCCATACATTTGCTCCTCCGGTTCGGACTAGAGCCTCTTGCTTATGTAAAGTACATATTTTGCAAGCTGCATTCACGCATACTCATTCTAGCAGGTCAACATTAACTCACCTTCCAAAGGGGCAGACCTAGTGGAAAGTGACAGCAAGGATAGGGTCCTAGCAAGAAGGAAGAAACCAAGGGCACCCTGAAAAAATGAATTAGCAGTGAAGAAAAAAAAACTACAAAAGCAAGAAAAGCAGAGCAGGAAAAGGAGATAGAAAGGAGCCTGGAAAGAGTGTGGAGAGGCAGCTTTGTGTCAAAGAAACCTCCCGACAGCTGTTACCATAATGAGAACTGACACTAACTAGCAGGCCAGTCTGGTAGAATTAGGCAAATGGCATTATCTCCATCCAGTGGGGATGAAGGAACCTAAAGGAATAGAAGAATCAGTCACTTGCCTTCCTCCATGGCCGAAAGGGTGGGTGTTTACAAAGCTTTGCCAGGAATGAAAAACAAAGGAGCTGTTTCTGCCCCGTTAGCCACCCCCAAATTCCAAGGTGTTAAAGAGGGCCTTCTCCACTGCTCTGGTAGGAACATCCAGAATCAAAGAGTTCTTTATTCTAAGCAGAGCGAAGAAAATATTTACTCACCTTCATCTGTCACAGTAGTATCGACGCAGCAGGAAACCCACATCTGATGCCTGAAAGTACCTCTAAGACCTGGCATCTCGGGGCCTAGTTTTCTTTTCCTTTTTTTTAAGAGAACCATGTAGTCCAGGCCAACCCTCCACTTGTGATGTTCCTGCACACACACACCTATATCAGGATTACAGGTCTCTATCACACCACCTAACTGGACCTGGTTCTTTAAGCTGCTTGATTTCTTTCTGGGTTGTTTTGACTTAGTCTCATTCAGCCCAGGTTGGTCATTAATTACCAAGTGCTAGGATCACAGGTGTGCCTGTCTCAATCTGGGTCTGAGACACTGTGCTTTTAGTTTTAAAAACCAGTCCCATTCTTTTCTTTTAGCATGAAGGTTTAGTGATGTTAGTATCTTATGAGGGGGAAAAAATCTGTAAAATCTGTAGAATTTTCCAAGTGTGTGTGTGTATAGTGGTTGTGGGGAGAAGTTTCCTGAAGTTGAACCCTGGCCTTCTCATATACTTACTGCTGAGTTACATCCTCATTTCTAGAATGCCAATTCTTTAGGAAAAGCAATGTCTTAGAGAAAATAATTTTACTGTGTTGTGGAAACACAAAGTTAAAAATGCATTATAATATATGTTCATTTCATGCCACCTGCCCCATGCACACACACACACACACACACACACACACACACACACACACACACACACACGAGACAATGTTCTTGTCAGGTGTGTAGCAGGCCTTCAATCTTAGCACTTAGGAGGAGGCAGAGGCAGGTGGATTTTTGTGATTTTTGAGGCCAGTCTGATCTACATAGTGAGTTCCAGGACAGCCAAAGCTATGGAGACAAGGTCCTTATGTATCCAAGGCTTGTTTCTAACCCCTTGTGTAGTTGAGAAGATGCCGACTTGTTCCATGCATACTAAGTAAGCTCTACAAACCCAGCTACGGTCCTAGCTCTTTCACTGCTTCTTTATGTGTTTTTTTTTTAAGACAAGGTTTCTTTGTGTAGTACTGGCTGCCCTGGAACTAGCCCTTGTAGACCAGGTTGGCCTCAAACTCAGAGATCCACCTGCCTCTGCCTGGGATTAAAGGTGTGCGCCACCAACTGGCTTGAGTTATTTTTTTAAAACTATTTTATTTCACGCAGTTGACTGCTTTGCTTGCATATGTGTATTTGCACCATGTGTGTGCCTGGTACTCACAGAGGCCAGAAGAGGGAGTCAGAGCTCCTGGAACTGGAGCTAACAGATAGTTATGGGTCTCTATGTAGGTATTGGGAACCCAACCTGGGTCCTTTGAAAGCACAGCCTGTGAGCCAATGCTTTTAGCTGCTATGTCTCTAGCCCCCTTGTCTGAATTTTTAATAATAAGACCTTCCTTTATTGGTAGAGATTTTCCCTTTCTGATTACAATATTGGATCTCAAAAATCATAAAATGTCAGTTATCTTGTTCTATAGAGTCACTGATGCCAGCAGGCTGTTGGAGGTCTCGGAGATACTGGTGAACAGCTTCCAAACTCAAACAAAGCAACACAAAGTTGTGAAAACCTAGACATTGCCTGGATGGTGAGCAAATAAATACCTTTCAAAAAAATAGAGCCGGGCGGTGGTGGCGCACACCTTTAATCCCAGCACTCGGGAGGCAGAGGCAGGCGGATCTCTGTGAGTTTGAGGCCAGGCTGGACCAACAGCCTCCAAAACAATACAGAGAAACCCTGTCTCGTAAAAACCAAAATAAATAAATAAATAAATAAAAATAGAATCTCCATTTAAAAGGGCCTTTTTTCCCCTCACAGTGAAATCAACCTCACTGGAGGTTGTTTTAGGACAAAGCTGAGTAAATTAAGTATTCCTATACCATATGTTCAGCTTTGGCAGGAGAAAGAGTTGGGAAGGGACTCCCCATGCTAGGGAATGCCAATATCACACCCCATCTGGCTATTTAGTCACAAAATAAGAAACACACAAATACTTGGCTCAAACACCTTTAATGACGAAGGGAAAGATACTAACATCTCCCCTTTCTGCTCTTACACATTTCACCGTGTTAGGGAGCTCTGAAGCTACTACTTTAGAATCATCATTGACTAACAAAATCCAGTCTCCTTCTCAGAACTCCTGTTCCACAGGATCCTATGTTAAGAGTCAATACTACGTCTCACTACAAGACAGAGAGGCAGGGAGGAGCCACTTGAAGCTTGTCTCTCAATGTCTGGGGCTCTAAGAAGCAGACAAAAAAATAAGACATAAGCTCTGGTCCACGATCAGGCAAAATTGGGGAGGAAAGGGGTTTTGAGAAGACCAGGGGCATATAAGGGGCAAGGGAATGAAATAGCGCACCATCTAAAACTAAAGCATTCTAGTGCTAGGAAGTCCCTATGACTCCTGGGGCTGCAACACCATATCACCGTTAGCCCAAAGGGACATTCATTAGAATGTTCACATTCACAAGAGCTGAAGTTCCTCTCCCTTACATCACGCTCCATTCTTTATCAAATAGGTTCCCAGAAATCCCTGTTTTAGAAACACTCCTCAACTCGCCATGACATCATCAACTATCCTCACAAATACGGCTCTTGAAAGTTAGGAACTTTATACTTCCTAAGATTATCTCATGGAGACCTCCTGGCAGGAAATCTGCTTGTCGGTTGAGAGGCCATGATAAATGAGAAGTTGAAGGAGTCTGTGCATCTTGATCAGCTAATATCTTTGCCTTAATGTGACAAGTCAAGGGACATACTGAAAAAGCAACCCAACCCTTCATCCTTCCCTAACTCCGAGGGTTGAGCCACCAATTACTAGAATATCTTCATTGCCAGCACCTTCTGTAGCAGGGGGAAGGAGAAAGAGGTTATAGTTTGTTACTTCTTTTCTCTGGTGTGCTTGGTAGGTACCGCCATGGATACAGAAGGCAGAATCAGGAGAGAGGCTATGTTCTCCACTGCCTCTCTGGATCTTGTTGTTGGAGCCCTCTTCTCAAACACAGTTCCTGGGCTTAATAGCAATGATGGTGGGTTTGGTGGGTAGGCCACCTGACAGGAAAAACTGTACTTGTTGCAGAAAAGTAAGACACCCACCCTTCGCAAGCTTCTCAAGAAGGTCCTGGCACAAGGAAGTCTTGCAGGGTGACTTGGTCAAGATCACCAAGGAGTAGCACTGGGCCCTCCATAGACAGATGCCAGCCCCTTTGAGCAAGGCTGCCATTCCACAGATGGGGGTTCTGGTGTACCAGCCAAAGGGAAAGGGAGAAGAGGGGAGGACTCCCCTTGAGCTTGAGAAAGCTACAGAGAATTTGTTTTCCCTAGTTACAAAGAACAAAAAGGTGATACAAATTTCTTAGGGGGCATTCCCTTTTGAACTCAATTTTTAAGCTCAGAGACTAGAGAGAAACCACTAGAAACATCATGTTAAAACTTGAGAAAAGGGGAAGTTGAGTAAATCTTGAAGGTCCTTCTATGGAGCCTCAATTTCTGTGCCCTACACATAGGGGATCAGGTACAGAAAACAGGCTCATGGGATGGCGGGGTCATCTTTTCGAGGGAACGGGGAGAGCCCTGGAGAAGTGATGGCAGAGGAACAGCCAGGGACCAAGGAGAGAGTAGCAATATTCTGAGGACCATGGGGTGCAAAGGGGGGTACCTGGTGGTGAGCCAACAGCATGTGCTTCTTGAGGGTAGGACGATCAAGGAAACCCTGCCTGCAGAAAACACAAGTGAAGAGTGGCCCTTCCTTAGGGTGGGTCTTCTGGTGCTCCTCCAGAGCTGTCTGGGTAGGAAAGGTCTGGCCACACGCATCACAGGCCTTTCTGCTGCTGCCCTCTCCTGGCTCCTTTTGCACGACTTCCGGTAAGCTCAGCTCCTCCACCAAAGGGGTGCTGGTGCCCTCCCCTTCTTGGGTGATGGCTGCAATCGGGCTTGGGGTCCCCTCCAGTTTGGCCTCTTCCTCCATGCCTCCAGAAACATCACTGGCTCCCAGCTCCATGGGTTGGGGATGACCCAGGTTGTCAGGCGGAGGTGGTGGCAGAGACGCTTGTTGAGAGACTTTCTCGTTACTGTCCATCTCCTTCCCGGTGGTGGGTGCTGCTCCCACTGCTCCTACTTCCTCCTCCGCCCCAGATACCTCTTCGGAGTCACCTCGCACTGATATGGCCTTCTCACCCCCGCTCTCTGAGCCTCTTCCTGCTAGGGAATCTTCATCCGTCACATCTTCCTCCTCTTCCTCATCCTCTTCTTCAGACAACTCATCTTCCGGTGACGGCTGCTGGGATTGCTGCTGGGGGAAGCTCCCTGGTCCAGAGACTGTAGATTGCTCAGAGCTATTCTCCTGGGCAGCTCCCCCGCCTTCAGGAAGTGTGGAAGCACCGTTGGGAATCTGGCCTCCCAGGTGCATCCGAACATGTTGCTGCAGCGTGACAGCATTAGTGAACTTCTTCTGGCAGATGGGGCAGGAGTTCTGGGCCCGGGCAGCTGGACTTGTCTTGTGGCCCACAAAATGCGCACGCAAATTGCCCCTTGTGGAGAAAGCTCGGCCACACACTTTACACTTGAAGGGCCGCTCACCTCCATGCTGGCCATAATGCAGGCGCAGCGCTCGGGGACAGCTCAGCACCCGGAGACAAATGACGCACTGGTTAGGTCCTGAAGACGAGGATGAAGGTGTAGGGGCGGAGGTGGTGGGAGCCCCTGATGCGGTAGAGGCCACTGCCACAGCCCCTTGGCGGTCAATCTTTTCTACCAGCTGCTGCAGCTTTGACGTCTCAGACGGTGAAGCCCCCAAGGGCTCCAGCACATAGGGGAAGGGGAAGCTTCCGGTTGACTTCAAGTGATTCGTAAGCAGTGCCCAGCTCGGCAGCGAGGTCACCAGCTTACTTAGCTGCATCCGGGTGGCTGCGCCACCGTCTGCTACTCCGGTAACCGCGGAGCCCTCGCTCCCCGGGGGCGTATTCTCATCAGCTTTACTCTTGGGCTCCACGGCTTTCATGAGCACAAACTTGTTGAAAGCAGGGAGTCCAGGAGCCACCGCCGTGCTTGTGCCAGTGGAGAGCAGGGTCAGGCTCTCTGTGGCACTGAGCGCTGTCGTGGAGGCCACTAGAGGTTTGCGCTCAACCGCTCCACCTGGTGTAGCGGCCTCCTCTTCGGCTTTCTCCGGCGGCACGGACATCCCGTAAGGCAGCCCACTGCTGGTGATGACGTAGTCTAGGTGCTCAGGTACCGGATGCGGATTCATCTGCACGTGCGGGTACTTCTCACGATGCCGGTGGAAATGCACTTTGAGGTTGCCCCGAGTAGTGAAGCGGTTACCGCAGACGTTGCACTTGTAGGGCCTCTCGCCAGTGTGGGAACGCAGGTGAATCTGCAGCGCGCTGTCACTGCCAAATACTTTGGCACAAAAGCGGCATTTGTGCCTTCCGCCAGGCTTTTCCAAGGAACTGATCACTTCCCCGTAGCCCAGATCACCACTTCCATTCTTTGGCTTCAGGAGCCCTGGGGAGGCAGCAGCCTCAAGGCCCCTTGCTGCCCCAAGACATTGAGCTGCCAGGAGTCCTGTGGTGCCTGGGAATGCCAGATGAGGCGAGGCAATCAGCTGGTCTGTGCTGCCTGGCAGGGCAGGGGAGGGGGCAGGTGTGGGTTTGTGGCTTCGCCCCACTCCTCCAACAGAGAAGGGATGTTGCGATCCCAGGGGGTGGTAAAGGTGGAAGAAAGCCTGCTTGGGCGGTTCTGCCCCTGAGGAAGAGGAAGAGGAGGAGGAAGGTGCCAGTGTCTTGCCAGTTTGGACAGGCTTGATGGAACTGAAGAGAGGCAGCAGGGGCTTGGTGGAGGAGGCAGTCCCTGTCCCGGGCAGCTCTGAAGGGCTGGCAGGAGCACCCACCGGCTGCCCCAAGGAGCCAAGCAGCAGCACCTGGCGGCAGATCTGCTCAGTCATCTGCATCTGATGGATCTGTCGCTGCTGCAGCACCCGCAGCTCTTCCAAAATCAGGGGAATGTTCAAGTGGCCACTGCCTACACCTGGAGCCGGAGGGGGGAGGGGGAGGAGGGGGAGGGGGGAGGAGGAGGGGGTGCAGGGGTAGATTCTGGAGGTAATGGGGTTGCTCCCAGCTTGGGACTGGCCAAGATCAGGCCCCCACCTCCTCCAGCCGCTGTACCTGTGGCAGCGACCAGGAAATGCCCCGAAGACTCCTCTCCTCTCCGCTCTGGCCCCCACGTAGGATCAGGGGGCCCAGAAGACCCAGAATCTGGGAGATTGCCGTGCTCAGTATCCATGACCTGGGGCCTACTGTGGCCCTCTGGCCGGGGTGCAGAGGAGGAGGATGAGTTGTTGGGGTTCTCCTGACCCCCAATTATCACCATCACGGGTGGGTCAGTGCAACACGCGTTCTGGTGAGCGAGGAATTCGGTCGGGTCAGAGAATTGTGCGCAGCATTTGGCACAGACTTGGGGGTGGTCCTCCTCGTTAGCATCACCTGGGGAGAAGACAAGGAGAGTGTGGGTAATGCGGTTTTGTTGGGTAGCGGAAGCTCTAAAGAACGGGCAACCCAGGAACTGCGGGTGAGGGTGGGGAGATAAGCTTACAGTCAGATCCTGCATGAAGCCAACGCTCAGACCAGACCCGACCCGCGTGGCTCCCGGGACACCCAGCAAAAGGGGGAGGGGGAGTCAGGGCTGGCACATTCCGAGCCTCCCCCGTCACCCCTCCCCCTCCTCTGGCCCAGGAAGAGTGGGAATGGATGTTAGAACTGGGGCTCTGTGTAGAATCATACATTTTATCCGTCCACTTAAAGTCCTTATGCGCGAGCAGCCCCTCAGCCCCCGTCTCTGCCCAAGCCTGGCCCTACCGCACCTCCGCGCTCCGCAGGCTCCCCGCAGGGCCCCCCGAGTCGAGAGCTGCTCCCGGTTTCCTGCGCCATGGCCGTGGGGAGGTGGAAGGCGGGATGGGGTAGGACACAATGGGTATCCGGCGTGGGAAGGCGTCGGTGGCCGCCGGCGCTGCGGCAGCCTCTGCGCCCAGCGGCCCGGACTGCGGAGGAGATCGGCGGTGGCGGGGGGCAGGGAACAGCGGCGGAGGGGGAGGGGAGCGAGGAGACGCGGAGGAGGGGAGGAGCTGGAGCGCGAAAGCCGGTGGAGGGGAGGTGGGGGGAGGAGGGTTTGGGGCGGGGAGGAGCTGCCGGGGAGGGAGCCGAGAGCTTGAGGAGGCAAAAGAGGTGAGCGAGTGTGGCAGGCCTAGGAAGCTTTACCCGGGCTCTGGGACAGGTGCGGCGAGCCACCTTGGGGGCCCCCTGTGCCCTAGCCTCTGCCAGCCCCCCACCCTCGATGTCTTTATTCTTGCTGCTCCCACCGGGTCAGCCCCAAGCGCTCAGTGGGAAGCATTGCCCGCTCAATAGATTAAGGCGATAGGCTTCAGTAATTTTTCTTCGGATAAAGGATCTGCTGAGCTTGGAAATCGTGGATTCCAAAGGGTGGTCTGCCCGCCGCAGAGGTCGGAGGACAAGAGTGGGAGGAGCCGCCCCCAGACACCCACCCCCTTACCGGCTCGCACATCACAGACATCTCAAGTTTTGTGTTCACCCTTACTCCCATCCTACCGTCATCCTTCTTCATAAAAGAAGTTTCAGGGGGGGAGGAAGGGGGGCGATTGCAAGATGGAATTCCCAAGAAAGTCATTTGAGGACCCGTTCTTGAGGAACACTAAGCCAGAATAAGCCCCAGAATAACAGCTAATCCACAGGCCACAGGCCCTATACCTAATGCATAGAGTTCGTACTTAAAAACAACAACAACAAAACCAACAACCCTCTCCAGCTCGGTACCCTCTACTCTACTGCCCACTCTCCCTCCCACCCCCTAGTCACCGTCCCTAAGAAGGACAATTAAAGACATTAGCTTGTAAAGGCCTAAGGAGATCCTCCCAGCTCCAACCTTGGGGGAGGGGAGCTCACCCTGCAACAATAGGGAAGATTCGGAATGAGCTTTCAGTCTGCCGCTCAGAGTCCAAAAGCCCCTAACCAGATCTGAATTCCCAGACGAGGCTGACACCGGCCTGCCTTCTGTTCATAGACAGTGGGGGGTCAGGTGCTTCAGACTAGGTACTCGGCATTCCTTTTCTTCCTTGAGATGAGATCTAAAGGATCTTCCTAAAATCCTTTATTTTATTTATTTTTATTTTTTTAATCTTTTTTAATATTTTATTTATTTATTATACAATCTTCTGCATGCCAGCAGAGGACACCAGATCTCATTCAAGGTGGTTGTGAGCCACATGTGGTTGCTGGGAATTGAACTCAGGTCCTTTGGAAGAACAGTCAGTGCTCTTAACCGCTGAGCCATCTCTCCAGCTCCCAAAAATCCTTTATTTTTAGATGTAAAAAGTGACCTCAGGTCTTGGATTTGTGGTTTGGGGGTGGTGATCAATAAACACATATTGCTCTTTTGTTTATTTTAATTTTTTTGGAGCCTGTTCTTACTATGTAGCTCAGGCTGACTTTGAACTCAGCAACCCTCCTGTTTCAGCTTCCCAAATGCTAGGCCTATAGTATGTGCTACTCCCTGCCCCTTCCCCCCAACACACACACACCATGACTGGCTTCCTCATTATTGTTTTTGAGACATGGTCTCATGTAGACCAGGCTGGCTGTGTCACTCAGTCTAGTGGCAAACTCCCAACCTTCCTGTGTCTTACAAAAAATGTTGGGGTCACAGTCTTGTTCAGGGTTTCTCTATGTAGCCCAGGCTGCCCTGGAACTCTGTAGACCTGGCTGGACTGCCTTCCAAGTGCTGGAGTCAAAGGTGCGTGCCACCAAATATGCCATCATCTCCCTTTTTATAAAGAGATAATGTCTTACATACACTATCCTTATTGGAGGAATATTTTGATAGCAGAAAAATTAAAAACCTTTTTTTTTTGTCGTTTGTGTGTGTGTGTGTGTGTCTGTGTGTGTGTGTGTGTGTGTGTTTGGTGCTGGAGATAAACTTTGTACCAAGTGTCCTACCACTGAGCTGCATGCCCAGTAGAAAATGCTAGAAATGTAGTATTAACCAATATATGTGGGACTTTCCCCCAAAAAGAGCCTATACATGAGGAACTTTTTAAAGTTTGAAGTCTTAGATATTATTGAATAAAGAATTTACATTTTTAATAATAAAATAGCCTAGCCGGGGCGTTGGTGGTGTACGCCTTTGATCCCAGCACTCGGGAGGCAGAGGCAGGCGGATCTCTGAAGTCGAGGCCAGCCTGGTCTACAGAGCGAGTTCCAGGACAGCCTCCAGAACAATGCAGAGAAACCCTGTCTTGAAAAACCAAAAAAAAAAAAAAGAATAATAATAAAATAAAATAGCCTAAAATGAACACACACTAAAATAACATCTTTTTTGTTTGTTGGATTTTTTTTTTTTTTACATAGGATCTCCTGTAGCCTAGGCTGGCTTCAAACTCACTATGTAGCAAAGGCTGGTTTTGATCCTCCTGCTTCTTCTGCCAAGTACTGGAATTATCATAAATCTGAGCCACTGTTTCTGCATTACACCATTGTGGGGATTTAACCCAGGGCCTCACGAATGCCAGGCAAGAGTTCTACCACTAAGTTACATCCTTATGCCTCATCCCTCAATCTTGTTAATTTCTCTGCAATATCGTTGATATGTCTAGGTTAGTCTTCTTGTGGAGGGGGGGGAGGGCCAGGTGGATCTAACTAATCAAAATTGGAATAGTTGAGAGCAGTGACAAGTGTCTTTAGTCCCAGCACTCAGGAGGCAGAGGCAGACCAATCTCTGTTAGTTCAAACCAACCTGATCTACAGAGAAAATTCCAGACCAGCTGGCGTTACAGTGAGACCCTGTCTAAAAAAAAAAAGTAGATGACTACTGTCTTTATAAATTGAAAACAACTCATAGTGTTATGCTTTAAAACTTCAGATAATGTCAATGATTTTAGCCTTGTGAAGCAGACCACTGAAAACGAATAACCTCTGTTCCTTTAGACCTGGTCTTTGCAAATGAAGGAGGCGTCTATTTCAGTTAGTCCCAGACACAGGTAAGTGCAGAACGCTGTCGTGTTACCGATAAGGAAACTGAAGCTCAAAGAGGTTAAGTGACTTCTCCAAGTTCACAGAGTAATTCAGCAGAGCCACACTCAGGTCTTTGGCTCCTGTCCAGCTCTCCTCCAGCACATCCTAACGCTAGAGAAAGGGCCCTGTGTGGCTCCTCCCTGCCCTTTGCCATCAGGTCAGAGAGAAGGGATCAGAAGGGGACTTTCTACCCAGCATTTGCTAATTAGCACGGCACATTTGATACCCAGTTGCCGTTCTGTCAAGTCCTTGGACAAGAAGAAAAGAAATCCTTTTCTTCTCCTGGGAAACAGTGTCCCCTTTCTAGCGTTTTAATGAAATGTGCTTTCGGATGTGTCATTTGATCTGGGCTCGCTAGGGTAAATTTAGTCCCCGGTGAAAGGTGATGTATCAACAGCCACCTGTAAGAGGAGATGTCTAAGTCTCAGTGCCTTTTACACTCTCTGCCTAGCCTGAAAAAGATTCCTATGCAAACAAAACTGAAGTCACAAAACACAGGAGCATGCTGAGCTGGTAACTGTAAGCCTGGATAGCAGAAAATGTACAATGAGCTGGATCACAGGCAAGGACTGTCATGGGTGCGAACCTGCACACGCCCGTTCAAACTTACAAAGAGCTTAAATGACAAAAACAGAGCAAAAACAAAAGCGCTGGATTTGGTAGTACATTCCTTTAATTCTAGCACTTGGGAGGCAGAGGCAGGCAGATATCTGAGTTTGAGGCCACCCTGGTCTACAGAATGAGTTCCAGGATAGTCAGGGCTACACACAGAGAAACTTGGTCTGGAAAAAACAAAAATAAATGAAATGAAACTTGAAAACAAATAAAGATAAATCCATAAAATAAAACAAATGAAACCGGATAGCTTTTCTTCTAAACTAGTGCCCAGGCGTGGGGGTGTGGTTTATTTGGTAGGTAGGGTACTTGCCACACAGGCACAAAACCCAGGGGCTTCAATCCCCCAGCATAAACCAGTCACACCTGCAATCCCAGCACTCTGGGGGTAGAGGCAGTTGGATCAGAAGTTCAAGAGTATCCTCCCTGACCCATCACAAGTTGATGGCTAACCTGAACTATAAAAGACACTATACAAAAAATAAACAACAACAACAACAAAAAACCTGGTGCCCTGATAAACAGCTTCAGACTTGGGAGAGGATGGTTGGGAAGAACACAGTTAAAAACACACAGGGCGACAGGCAGTGGTGGCACACACCTTTAACCCCAGTACTCTGGAGACAGATGCTGGTGGATCTCTGTGAGTTCAAGACCAGCCTGGTCTACAAGACCGAGTTCCAGGACAGCCTCCAAAGTCAGAGAGGAACCCTGTCTCGAAAAACAAAACAAAACAAAACAAAACAGCAAAAAAAAACCACATATAGGGCCTGAACGGCAGGCAGAGTGGTATACCTAGTATAAACAGTGGCTCCCAGCCTTTACTATGCTCATATTAACTTAAGAGCTGTAGGACATACTGATATCTTGGGTTGGGGCCGTAACTCAATAGTAGAACACATACCTGGAAGGCATGAGGCCCAAGCTCAATCACAAACACACACACACACACACACACACACACACACACACACACACACACACACACACACACACACACAGAGAGAGAGAGAGAGAGAGAGAGAGAGAGAGAGAGAGAGAGAGAGAGAGAGAGAGAGAGAGAGAGAGAAGCAATCTCAACTCTAAAATAAATCAAAATAAGTCAAAATCCCTAAGGGTTGTTAACCTAGCATCATCATCATCATCATTGTTTTTGTTTTTCAAGACAGGGTTTCTCTGTGTTGTTTTGGAGGCTGTCCTGGAACCCCACTCTGTAGACCAGGCTGGTCTCGAACTCGCAGAGATCCGCCGGCCTCTGCCTCCCGAGTGCTGGGATTAAAGGTGTGCGCCACTGATGCCCGGCCATCATCATCATTTTGATAGAGTCTGGAACTTGCTATTTCCAGAATGGCCTCAGA